TTTTCATTCTCATCTTCACAACATCAATGTCTTCAATAAACCTTATTTTTGGATTCCATCTCTCCTGAGTGTCATTTCTGCATTTGGGTCAACCAGCCTAGTTATCCCGTGACAGAAGCAGGTAGATGATGGCGTCTTCAACCCCAAGCCCATTATGATATAAAATAAATATGTAATATATTAATTAATATACTAATATAAAATACAAATCTATTTAAAAGATCTAGATACATCTTTTGAGTTGTAAACGTTATTTTGATGGGTTGAGTTGGCATCATGATGCTGCATCAACCCAATATTGTCCCCAGTTATTTTATTTGCCAAATTAAAAACTTATGATAGTAATTAACTGCATAACACTTTTAAAAAAAATATGGAAATTCTATTTAGAATCATCATCATCATCACAAAGTGAATTCCTCTGACTCAGTGTAGTTTGTTGGTTGGTTGAAGTTTCAATAGAAATTGTCTTAACTTAACAAGACTGAATGTGATTTCTTTTAGACTACAGGGCTGATGAAAAGGAAGCTGCTGTGTGTGATGGGAGGAGAATCATGGGAATCGTTGGAAAACAGGGCAAGTGGGTGCAGTCGGATCTGGAACAATAGGAGGATTAAAGCACCGCAGCAGGGATGGTCAGGTAAATGATACACATTACAGCTGTGACCGTTTGTACTGTTGTCTAGACAGACAAGAAAGACAAATCCCAACATGCTTGAGATGAACATGTAGACAATACAAACATCGTTGTGGTTTTCATGCATGAATATTTTGTTCAACTCCATCTTTCAACGCTGGTTTTTCTCTCAGTAACGTTTTTGACTGCAGTAACAGAAATGTCGGTACATTCTTCATCATGTCCTACCTGCACATATCCATATGTATATTAAAAATGTAGCATGAGTATATTTCCTTAACTATATTGTCTTCACATTACCTTCAGCATATCTTTATTTTTAGCCTTATTGTACTTTTATAGCTGTTGTCTTGCTTCTTCCATGCTTCATGTGTATCCAGCTGCTGTAACATGTACATTTCCCAGATGAGGGATCAAGAAAGTTTATCTTAACTTTTACTGTTCTGTGTGTAAATATAATTAATGCTTATTTCTGAAGGAAGAAGATCTGTACTCAGTGATGTGTTCACTATCACAGTTCAAGACGATGTTCACAGACTAGTTCCTACTTCTTAGTTCAATCCCATTTGATCTTTTGGTGCTGATGATTCACACATCTTCGTAAAAAAAAAACCCAACAACAACTAAACAACCATGTATTGCGCTTTCTTGGAGTTCTAAGCTGTCGTGCTTGTACAGGCGTTTAGCGAAAATGTGAGCTGCATACCAGGATTTGTCAAACCATTAAACTCTTGCACAAGTTTCTCAAATAGAAGCTTCTC